TCCCTCACTTACAGATGAGGAAACTGAGGCACGAGCTTGCCTTCACAGAGTCAGGCTGGGTGACGTGGGTTGATGGGGCCGACACGCCCCATTGGGGCCACAGGTCCCACTTTCCTACCCACAGGACTGTGACGATTTTGGTCCATGACACCAAAATAATTCCTTTGCAAGATGAGTGGAAGAAGCTGGGGCTGGCCCTGGGCTGCCAGGGGCTAGAGCTGGAGCACTGGGGAACAGGCAGGGGTGGTCACCACAGTGTGTCCCCAAAAAGTTCACAAATGCCTTCACCCGGACAGCCTCAGGGTCAGTGCAGACCTGGTGTTTCTTCCTGGTGATGAAGTTGAGAAGTGGGGAGGACCAGGAAACCTTTGTGGCGGGGAAGGGATGCACCACCACAGAGCTGCAGAGTCACACCAGGGCTGGCAAATTTCCTTTTTGTGACCGTTGTCCGGTGTGGGGGCAGCCAGCCAAGGGGAGGTGCTGAGAAACCAGAGAAGGTCACTGGGCCAGACTCCTGGCGCTGCCTCAACTTGCTGCTGGCTCCTGCAGGCAGGGAGAAGGACCGCAGATCACAGATCCAAGTGGCCACTGCAGACCATGTGGTTGATGTCTCTTGGGGCAGGCACCTTCTGGGTATTACTTTGCTGCACACCAAACACCTCGCCTGGGAGTGCTTTCTCAGCCATGCTCGGGCAGCTGCACCAGCAAGACACCAGGAACAACCTCTCATCCTCTCTCCACTGGGCTCCTCCCAGCATCAGTGTGGGCAGGTCCTTCTCAGCCTTCTTCTTGCAACTGGAAAGCATCTCTCCTTGCCAGGACTGACTGATGGCCAATCCCAGATAACACCCCAACAAGTCCCACTCTTGGTCCCAAGAGGGAGAAAGATTTGTGGGGCTAAGCCAAAAGCTTCCTGCATGGGCAAAAGCCTGCACCCACACAACAGCTGGCTGCTGGCACTTGCTGGTGGTGTAGAAATGTGTTTCCTGGAAAGTTTCTGCCAAATGTATGTGAAGCAGCAAGCAGCTGTGTCAGGGATGGGTGGAGGAGATTTGGGGAGCAGGACTGAATCCATACGACCAGAAGAGGACGCAACGTGGATGTGTACAACCAGCAGAGAATAAGCACTCCCAGCAGGCCATGCTCTAGACCAACGAGTCAGAGCAGATCATGCCTGTTTCTCAGGCATTACAGGTCATCATCATGAGCCGTTCTTCCTCCAGAAGAGGAAAAATCAACCCAAAGACAGAGGTGGATTCAGCTGGAGCAGAGCAAGACTGGGAACAGAGGGCAGCAACACGGAACAAGGTTCAACCAGAGAGACCTTCATGTTCCCATCAGGAGCTAAGCAGACATACAGACCATGTTTGTGCTTAGCACTGATCGCTTCAGTTCCCACTTCCACAGGGAAGCACCAGTGATGGGACATATAAATGGGCAGGTTTAGGAGAAAGGCCTCTTGAGTGATGCGAAGCTGCCAGAACATGGTCAGTGTAGGTTAGAAAGGCAGAACTCAAAGACCATAAGGCCAAGTTCAAACTATCAGCTATCAAAGAGCTACAGGGAGAGGTAGCGTCAGGATGTCCATCCCTTAATATAGCAGGTACTTCAGCAATGTTGGCTGGAAATAACCACAATTGCACTCCTCGTGTTGAGAACAGTTGAGAGCGAGAGGAGGTGAGAACTGCTCCTCAGGGGCTGATGAGGGGGCAGCTACTGAATTGGGTTAGGAACAGGGTCCAGCAGGGAGACAATGCAGGCCCTGGGTCTGAAGGTCTGCATGGCTCACCTCCCTTCCCAGGGCTTCTCCCAGCTTCACTGGGAGAAGGGGGACAGCCACAGCTCTCAAAAAGACCAGAGAGAACTGGGCTATCAGCTGCTTTATCCATGGCACCATTAGCGTCTTCTGACCTTCTGGTTGCCTTCTGCCACAGCAGGCAGTGAAGGAAAAGCCTGTGGTTCACGGGGTCCAGCAGAGTCAACTCTCCACGCCCCGTGGGAGCAGCTGTCCTTGCCTTTTGTCCACCTCTCTAAGCACACGAGAACCCTGATGGCTGAGTGATGGTCACCTTCCAGCAGGCAACTGGAGAGCTGAACTCTTCCCTTGCCTCTCCGCTGGGGTCTCAGTCCTTTGGCTGGTCTCAGTGTGGCTGGTGAACCACCTGGCCTTGCTGATTCCTGACTTGTGTCTCGAGACTTGATACCTGGCTCCACACATGTTTGTGCTCCATGTCCTGCCACGTGCAGTCTCATGATGGCAACCATACCAACTCACACCCCATTTTGCAGCACAGATGTCCCTGAACTGCTTGCAGAGCAAAGAAACCTGCAGGAAAGGGAGTGTTGGGCTGTCAGCATTGATACGGAGAAGGGTGTCGGGGCTGAGCCATCTCTTGCAGATACCTGTGCAGCTGGCATGAAAGGCTGGTGCTGCTCCAAGCCTCAAGGCAGGACCATCGAGAGCAGCTGATACATCCCCTGGATTCAGCAGAATCTCTCCCTACTTGACTGCTGCTCCTGGAGCTTCAGGAAGGAAAACGAAACCAGAAAGGCTGGAGAGGGAAATTCCCACACGTGCCTGGGCTCCCAGCCAGGGACTGTCCGGGGAAGAGCCAGCTGCAGCACCGAGTCCTCCTGCCTCTCCAGTCTGTCCCCTGCCTCCCGGGCCTGGGGCAAACCTCAGACCCCCCTCAGCCTTCCCTCTTACCACGATGTCCGTCCTCTGTCCCCTTGCAGCACGCGCAGCCCCTCATCAGGGACTATTCTGGGCTCCTGCTGTTCTTCTGCAGCACCAAAGGCAACTTCTCAGCACCAAAGGCAACTGACCATGCAGCGTGTGTGGGCGGTCAGGGGCAGAGGAAACCCCCAGCACCCCCTTCCCAGGTTCCTCGCCTGCCCGCCCATGGGCAGCAGCTCCTGTCCCTCCACCCCACCATGTGGTGGCAGCTCTCTGCTCCTGTGTTTCACAGCACAGTGGGGAAGTCCTGCTTCCTGATTTTTTGTCTCTCCCCCTTGACGGTAAGCCCTGGCCGCAGAGTGGGACAAGATTTTTGTGAACATGCTGACCCACCTTGTCCCTGCTTGGACCTGACCCTCTCTGCTCGGACCCTGCTGTGCCAGGGGAGCGCGGGCAGGGACAGCCTGTGCCTTTCCCAAATCATTCTCCCAGCAGAGCGGTCAGGAGCCATCTCCATGGAGCTGGAGAAGAGCACTCCACGTGGTCCCCCATCACCAGCATCATCTCCTGGGACACAGCATGGTGCCCAGGCTGGGTCTGCCCTTCGCCGGGATGCTGCTCCTTGAGTGCCCCGTGAGCTGCCTGCAGCCAGTTTTGCAGCCGGGAAAACACAAGGCTGGAGGGAAATCACGAGACACCGCGGAGGTGCTTTCCCAGCCTTGGGGCTACTGAGTCTGATCTACAGCTGCAGGAAATAATGAAACAATAACAGAAAGGCCCTTTATTGCCTTAGGAAGAAGAAATACTGACTGGAACAGTACAGCTGCAAAGTCAGGTTGACTCTGGGGGCATTTCTCAGTGCACAGCAGCAGAGGAGTGCTGAACACAGCTGCCATGGGCAAGCTGTGCCCAGCGCTGTCCTCGTATCCATGGGACCTGGTCCCTCCTATTCACGTTCCCATGCAAAGCCACATCCCAGGAACCATGCAAAGCCACATCCCAGGAACGACTGCGACAGGTTTGCTGGTGGCTGTCTTACCCCTGTGGCATAGCTGAACCCTTCTCCTTGTTTTACAGGTGGGAAAGTGAGGAGCAACCCCCATTGGGGTGGTCAGATGGAAAGCTGGGGTCCCTGCCCCTCTCCAGGGAGCACTGCCGGGCTCGGCAGGACCCAGCCGCACACCGGGGCTGGCGGGCAGAGATGCGGTGATGTCTCTGAGGAGCAGATATGTGTGAGGAGAGACACCATGGGGCCGCTGAGTGTGCATGTGGGCACCTGTGGGCTCTGTGCTGGGAAACGCTGCTCTTAGCTGGCAGAAATGATGAGCAGGGGTGGGAACGGGCATGGAGCTCCCCTGCTCTGCACCCCAGCACCCTCGGCACGAGCACGGAGGAGCAGCTCCTGAGCTCTCAGGGCAGCCCCAGCACCGTGGCAGCTCCATGCCCTCTGCTTCCTCCCATCCCACCATGAGCCACCCTCCCTGCTCCCCACTTCAAACCCTCTGGCAGGATTTTACCCCCTACAGCATTGTGTCCCATCACCACCCCATTGCACACACAGCACACCCAGGGATCATCCTGGATGTGTGGGGCTGGGAGCAGCAAGCCAAGCACATGGGACATCCCTGGGGTGTGTGGAGAGCATATTCATGTACGTAAAAGACCCGTATCTAACATGTCTAATTCTGTAGAGGATGTGGGAGGCGGGGGTGTATGTGGTGGGGCAATGAGGTGTCGGAGGATATTCATATGTCTGCAGTATGGAAACCGTGTGGTTTTGCCTCAAACCATTTCCCATCATCACATGCCGTATAGAGTGTGTAGATAGGCTCGGGGTGAGGTTTTGCCTCTGTGCGGGTGAACACCATACAGAGTCACATAAAGGGAAAAAACCAGACGTTTTGTCCAAATTCTTTATTCTCCAGAATCATGATTTTACACACGTAAGCCAGGGTCACCCATCATCCAACGCCAAGACTCTGAGCCACCCTCCCATAAATAGCATTGTTATCTACAGAAAAAAGTATTGCCTATCCCATATGATAATTTCTTAAATAATTTAAATAATATAAGAACAATAGAGGTGCAGTCCCATGGGCCTTCCCAGGCCACAGGCAGAGGTGTCAGGGTAGAGGGATGAGGTTGCAGACTGGTCCATGCAAGCCAAGCATGAGCAGCAGCACCCCAACACGAGGTGTCTCCTGGTGCACTTCCAGCAGTCCCTTGGAGCTGCCGGCACGTGTGCTCGTGCAGCTCATGTTGCCCCGGTGTCCTGCTCCATCGCAGGAGCTCAACATGATGCAACTCAGGCATGACAACAGCTTCACTTGCCTTCTTGCTTTGCTCTGTTCTGCTTCAAGTTTTGCAGATAACTTTGAACCCAAGTGTCACTGGGATTGGCACAGACCTGGTGGCCTTTCTTTGTGATGAACCTGTGGAACAGGGATGAGGCATATCAGACGTCTGCTCAGACCTGCATCCCAGGAAAGCCTGGACCCCAGCTTTGGGGCATTGCAAGAGGTTCTCCCCTGTGCCCTAACACAATGCTGAAACCAGCATCTGGCTGTGATTTCCCCCACTCCCACCCCTTTTCCCACACTGCCTCCTCAACTCCTGCAGGAACATCTCTGGGCGTCCCCGCAAGAGCATCTTTGGCAGTCCCTCTGCAAACCCTTTCCTCTTGGGGTTGCCCTCACCTCACTCTGTTCCCGCAGACCCACAGCTGCCCTGCAGAGCTGGTCACTCACATACGCACACCCCACAGCACCTGTCCCCACACTGCCCCAGCCTGTCTGCACCCCGGAGGCAGCCCTGGTACTTACACGATGGCTGGCAGGGTGCAACTGGTGCTGGTGCTGTAATACCGCAGGATGAGCTTCCGCGGGAGCTTGTGGTGCGTGTAAGAGAAGCAGCAGATTGGGAGGTCGGATCCAGCTGGAAGAGACAAGGAGAGACAATGTGAGCATGAGCGGGGCTGTGTGTCGGTAGCAGCCAGCCCATCAACTCAGGGAGCCGTGCTGGCAGGGAAGAGAGTGAGGAATTAGAGAATAATTAAGGTTGAAATGGATGTTGGGAATCATCTGGTCCAATGCCAGGAACAGTATTGTCAGGTACTGGGGGAGTTTCCCACCCAGTCGTTGCTCAGAGCTTCATTTCTCCACCTCCCCCAGCCCCAGGGCAGAGACTGAAGTCCCTAAACTATAACCAGGAATAAGTACTCCGAGCCCAGGATGGCTGGATGGAGGATGGAGGATAAAAGGATGGATGGATGGATGGATGGATGGATGGATGGATGGATGGATGACTGGAAGGATGGAAGGATGGAAGGATGGATGGATGGATGATTTTCTAATTCTAGAGTTCCCACATGATCTCAGTGCAGAGTGGAGAGTGGTACAAATGCTGAAAAATTCCCAGTTATCTGCCAGGGGAGCTCAATGGGGAAAAGAGAATGAAGGCTCAGATCTGTTCTTCCTTCACAAAAGAAAAAGCAGGACTCACCTGGGCCAGAGAAAGTTTGGGAGCAAGAGGCTGCAATAAGGAGAAGAGCAAAAATGGCTGCAGAGACCTTCATCTTCCTGTTGGGTGAGGGCAGTGGGAGCAGGACCAGGAGCTCTGGCAGATGCAGCTCAGACTGCAGCAGTGCACTCGGCTCCCTTTTAATAGGGAGTCCTGGAGGCAGCAGGAGAAGCCTCATTGGAAATTCCAGAATGATGACAGAGGATGTCAGGAAAGTGAAATAGCCAAAGGGAATTAGGGGAAAAAAAAAAAGTCAGAAAGAATGGGATACGGTTGACATTGGAGCCAAGTATGTCGACCTCTGACTCGGTGCTCATTTTCGATTTCAGCAAATCAAAAGGAAACTAAAATGTGCCAAGTGGCATGGCCACAAAGAGGAGAACTATTTATCTAAACTACTGGAGGGATTTTCCCTGTGAGTCTGCATAGCAAAAGACAGAATGTTTGCCTAAGATTACGCAACCCTGGAAAAAGAAACCTCAAAACCAGGCAGACTCCAAATCATGCTCGTGCTGTGATGTGTCAGGTGCTTATCAAAGGTTGCTGAACTGCAGCACATGGAGCTGAGAGGTGCCTGGACCTCTGTGCTACCCAAAGCGCTCTGCCCACACCAGTCCCACAGTGCTTGCTTAACATGGACCAGCGAGGAGCAGAGGCTGGAGCCACCCTTGGACATCATCCAGTCCAGCCCCTGCTCAAAGCAGGGTCAGCTGGGAGGGCTGCCCAGGACCATGTCCAGACGGGCTTTGAACACCTCCAGGGATGGAGACTCCACAACCTCTCTGGGCAATCTGTTTCAGTGTTCAGTAATAAAGTTTTGTCTGGTGCTTAAATAGAATTTCCCATTGCATCTTCTCCTGTCCCTGGCCACCACTGGAGTGGAGTTGGACTCCATCTACTTTGCTCCCCACACACACATTGATAAGGTCCCCCCGAGCCATCTCTTCTCCAGGATGAACAGTCCCAGCTCTCTCAGCCTCTCATCCTAGGAGAGATGCTCCTGTCCCTTAAGCAACTTCATGGCCCTTCACTGGACTCTCTCCAGTGTGTGCATATGTCTCTCATACTGGGGAGCCCAGAACTGGACCCAGCACACCAGGAGTGGCCTCAGCAGTGCTGAGCAGAGGGGAAGGATCACCTCCCTCGACCTGCTGGCAACACTCCTCCTAGTGCAGCCTGGGAGCCTGTTGGCCTTCTTTGTGGCAAGGGCACATTGCCACTCACGACCAGTTTGGTGTTCACCAGGAGTGGACATTGGGTCCTTTTATGCCAAACTGCTTTCCAGCTGGTCAGCACCAGCACTGGTGCCTGGGTGTGTTCCTCCCCAAGGGCAGGACTTCACACTTCTTGATGAACTTCATGAGGTTTTTGTGAGCCTATTTCTCCAGCCTGATGAGGTCCCCCTGCAGCATGCAGCAGGGACGGCAGCATGTCCCTCTGTGTGTCAGCCACTCCTCCCAGCTTCTTGCCATCTGCAAACTTGCTGAGGGTGCACTTTGTCCCATCATCCAGGTCATTAAGACATTAAACAGTACTGACCCCAGTATCGATCCCTGTGGTTCCCCACTGGCAATCTGCCCCCAGCTGGACTTTGTGCCATCAATCACATCCCTCCAAGCCCAGCCGTTCAGCCAGTTCTCAGTCCCTCTCACTGCCAGTTATCTAGTCCATACTTCATCAGTTTGCCTATGAGGATGTTATGGCAGTGAAAAGAAACAACGTCCCCTGCTCTGACCTCATGCACCAAGCCAACCATCTCATCTTTGCAGGTTACTCACAGTCACCTTAACAGCCACAGGCTTCCACAAAGCAATCAGATTGCATGATCTCACCCTACTTTGGAAGGTCATTGCAGGCAGAAGGGTCTTTTGCCACCCCCAACCTCAGCCCCCAGGGGAGCACAGAGTTTGCTGGAAGAGGTGGTTTGCCACACTGGAGATATTTTGCCAGCCTGAACAGTTCTCTTCAAAAGCTCCTTTGAGTCCAAGATGGATTTTCTGGCCAAAAAGGTGAGAGACAACTGGTGGAGAACCTGCCTGGCACAGGAGAGAATTTCAAGACTCTGCACGTTGGCAGCATGGTGCGGTGGCTCGGGGCAGCTCCTGCCTGAGGAGCAGGGCAGAGCAACAGCTCTGCAGGGACGGGGGGACCTGGGATGTCCTGATGTCCTGCCGCAGCCTGGGAGTGCAGCTGTGGTCAGAGCCCCCCTCCACTGCAGAGAGGATGCTCAGCCTGTGGGTGGGTTCCAGGGCCCGGAGCTGCAAGTGAGCGCAGCGGATACGCCATCCTTCACAAATCGGCTCGTCTCTGGCAGGGAGACAAAGAAGGTTCGAGGCCCCTGGCAGAGGTGATGATGAGCTCCTCCGCACACTTACCCCCCTGGGGAGGATCTCTTTTGCACTCCTGCTTCCCTGCAGGGTCGTGTCCTGTGTTACAACCCAGGATGCTGGCGCTACTGGCTGTGGCAGACTGCAGGCTCTGCAGCTGGGCAGAGGCATCACCAGCCTGGCCGAGGGTGTGCTTTTACTGGGGCCAAAGACTCTGTAAGTTCTGACTCGGGTATCAGGGAAGGTGTTGGATTTTGCTGGATTCACAGCAAGCCCCGGCAGGACCAGCGCTGCTTTCCCTGGGTGAGTCTGAGCGGCGCTGGGCAGAGGTGCGTGGCAGAACAAGAAGTGGCTCCAGCTTTTGGCTGAATTGCTGCAGAGCAAAACCAAACTATGGCTTTTTGCCACGGAAATAAATCATGCAGAAACCAACAGTGGGAGTTTTATGTTCCTCTGTGCTTGCAACTCACATGCTGGCATGTGCGCGGGGAAATGACAAATGCCGGCTGCCAGTGCTGCCTTGCCGGGTGAGAAAGGTTGTGGCTACAGAAAGACAGCTTTGTGGCTAACACCAGCCAGAGACAGCTTTGCTCACGGCAACTTCACAGCTTCTGCTCACCAGCCTCCTGCCTGCAAGGAGCAAGCACCACATGGTGCCACCTCGCTCGCCTGCGCGGGGCACCCAGGGTTGGTGGGGAGGTGCGATGGGTGTTGATGTAACATCTGGAAGCTCTGTCCTCCATCTGGACTCCCTGAGATGGTCAGTGGAAGGAAAGGAGCCGTCATTTGCTCCTAATGAATTTGACAGGGCTGGAGGAGGAGGCTCTGCAAAGAGCCACTGCGGCTGCCATCGCTTGTTTGTGTCGTCAGCACAAACTGATCGGCACTTACAAACCTGCCCTTTGTGAGCTGGGACGGCGATTCCCCTGGAGGGCCGAGAAGCCTCCTGGAATGGGGGGTTCCCCTCCCGCCCCAGCCGCTGTGCTGCGCTGCTCACCCCCTGCCACGGGGCTTCCGCTTCCAGTGGCCGCCTGCAGCCCCACTGTGGGCTCTGGCCAGGCTGCTCCCACAGCAATTAGCGCTCCCTCGCCCCCCAGGACAGCTTCTGGTTTTGGTTTGCTCTTTCTGTACACTGGTTTTTGCTTCTCTGCCAAATCCCAGAGCCCTCTGCTCTCACAGTTCCTGCAGTTTAAGTATTTAGAAGCTGACGTCTCTCAAGCTTCCTTTATTATTCCTGGAAACGAGCCATTTTTTATCATTTTAACCTCACCCATACTAGGGCATGAGATTTGTTTGGGTGCAGGAAGAAAAAGAAAGCTAAAATTATTCAAAGGGGAAGACTGTAGGGAAGGATGTTATGGTGGGTGCTGGGTCTTCATCCCCTGGTGTGGATCGTGACAAGGATTAGCCCAGAGGCTTTGGGACTCCTCCCCCCACTTCCCCCCACCCCTTTCACCCCCCAAATCCTGCCTTTGCCAAGAGCCGCAGGTCACAAAGCACATACCCCCAGGACAGAGGGATGCAGGTGGCGGTGAGGGCTGTCCCCAGGGTGATGGGGAAGCCTTGGCTGTCTTCCCCTATGGGTACCGCTTACCCATGAGGGTTGTACCACCCTGGCAGCTTACCACCACCAGAAGGACCTTGGCGTAGGTAAAGGGGTATTCACAGAATCATAGAACGGTTTGGGTTGGAAGGGACCTTGAAGATCACCCAGTGCCACCCCCTGCCCTGGGCAGGGACACCTCCCACCAGCCCAGGTTGCTCCAAGCCCCGTCCAACCTGGCCTTGAACACCTCCAGGGATGGGGCAGCCACAGCTTCTCGGGGCAACCTGCCCCAGGGGCTAACCAACCCCAAAGTAAAGAATTTCTTCCTAATATCTCATCTAAATCTCCCCTCTTCCAGTTTGAAACCATTCCCCATCGTCCCATGGCTCCCCTCCCTGATCAAGAGTCCCTCCTCAGCTTTCCTAGTGCCCCTTTAGGGACTGGAGGGGGCTCTAAGGTCTCCCCAGAGCTTTCTCTGAACATCCCATCCCTGTCACTCCTGCTAGACATTTGATCCTCTTGCCCACAAGCGGACATGAGCTCTGGGTGTGGGGTGCCCTGTTTAGGAGATGCTGGTGCAGTGCCCCAGGGGTCACAGCCTTGTCCCTCTGCTTGCAGCCTGGGGCAAAGGCAATCCCTGACCAAGTCCAGCTCCCCTTCGATCCCACTCCCAAACTGTCCCCAGCAAGTCCCTCCTGCGTCTGCACCTCTTTGTGCAGTCCCCGAAGGCTATCAGAGGCCTCATGGGGAGGCTGCGGGGCTGTGGCATGCCAGCGAGCAGTGCCGGAGCTCCCCAAGCCCCCCCTCTCCCCCGGGGCATGTGGGTGCCAGGCAGAGCCCGTGCCGGCCAGGGCGGCTGGACAATGGCCCTTTTGAAGGGCAGAAGCCCATCTGGGATGGCAAAAAGCCTCAGCGTGACAGGGAGTAGGATGGGACCCTGCACTTCAGAGAGACACTGCAGAGTGCCCTAACCTCCAAACAGCCCCCACACATGGGAAGTGGTTTGCAGTTTTGCAGCGAGCCCAGAATAAATCGTGGGGGTAGTAAACATCCGAGCTCCGCTGCCCGTCTCCGTGCCTGACCACTGCAGCTGGAAAGCTCACACCTCGCTGTGGCAGCAGGGGCGCACACCTCCCCGGGGGCTTCCTACCCCATCGGTGCTGGGGGAGGACCTACACCAGGCACGTCCCTGCCAGCACACCGCAAAACCGGCACTGGTGGACATGGGGGTGCTTCAGGAGGTCCGAGGGCCATACGTTAGGGAAGTCCCCCACCTGTGGCAATGGCCCTGACACAAGACTGCAGGTTAACCCTGGCCTCAGCCCCCTCGGTGGGCAGGGGAGGGTCGTGGTGCTCGGCCATCCCCAGAGCATCTGCGGGGTGTAGCCGGCCGCTCTGCATCCCACTGTGCTTCCCACTCTGCATCCCGCGGGCCACCCACAGCCCGCCCATGCAGACCTCCTGGAGAGCTGGGCTCCAGGGGCAGGAATGAAAATGAAAACCATCCATGTGTGGCTTGCTGCTGCCTTTCCTTTTTGCTTGATTATGATAAGCACGCAAGGTCCAGTGGGTTCATAAGTTTATAAAACTGGCTTTGTTTTCCATCCTCGCAGAGATACGAATTTTCATGCAGTTCTTCCTTGCTCTTTCTGGACTCACCAAAGATCTGAGTGAGGTGGACTGTCCTCCAGGGCAGAAGACTCAGCCCAGCAGAGACACTTTGTCTCCTCCTCCCAGGTATTTGCAGAGCTTGAGGGATACTGAGGGTGCTGCAGCCCCTGGAGCTGGCAGTCCGGGTGAGCTGGGAGCACTCAGACTGCCCCAACTGCATGGCCCCACAGCTGATTCCCTAAGGCTCAAAAAGTTGCTAAAACTCAAGTTTTCCCTGTTTCTTTCTCTTCCTTTCATGCCGAGGACAGAGAGGGGTGCAGAACAAGGAGGCGCTTTTTTTTCACCTTAATTTGTTTTGAAATACCATACACTTAATCCTCTTTGTTTTGTTTTGTTTCAAAAGAAACGTGAGGAAAAACTTGAGGCATTAGCCATTAGAAAGTGACAGTATTCCCTGGAGGATTTTTTTCAGAAAATGCCCTTGCTGGAGGAAGGTTGAATCTTTAATGAGATGCTTTTTTTTTTTTTATCAGCTATGAACATCTTCCTGGCGTGACATGATTTCGGGGAAACACGAAGGGGTCTCTTGTGCAACATGGCCGGCGGTGGCCAGCACTCGCTCCCACCGCCTGGCCAGGATGGCCGCGCTCTCCCCTTCACCCAGCGCGGTGGAGACAGATGGTTCCCAGTCAATCCCACACACACAGGTTACCATTGGAGCCGGTTCCAGGACATGATGTCATCTGAAAAATTCCAACATTTCTCCAGATATGTCAAGAATGGTGGGGGTGAGATTTCTGGACACTGATGGGAAGTCACCGGTACATAAGCTGTGAGCAGGGCAGGATGGAGACTTGCAGGTGGAAGTGGAGCTGGTCTTAGAGGCAGTTTCTGAACTCAGGATATTTTTAAGTGCTTCCTTTTCTGAGCGAATCCTGACTCCTCAGCATTAAACCTGCCATAAATAGCAACTTACATCATCCAGTCTCACTGGGTTTTTTTCAGGGTTCCCCTTTCATTCAAGATCGAGAATTTCCATATTTCTGCTATCACCAAATTTATTTTGGGCATTTGCTTTACTTAGCACTTTCTCCTGGGATTTTTTGGGGGCTTGCTTTTCTAGATAGAGCTTTTCTAGCTCTATCATATCCCTCTATGTAAATTGGTACAAAATCGGCCAGACTGCCTCAGAAAGCCTGTCCTGCTGACTCAAAGCACTGCCTGCTGGCAGCGGGGGCAAGGGTAGACCACAGACTGGGTCATGAATCCTGAAACCACCTGGAGCCACGGTGAGAAAACTTCCATCTTACACCACCATTTTTCTGTGCTATGGACCTAATTTACCCTGAGATCCTCCAGCCCACTTTGGCCACTCTTCCATGGCCATCTCTCCATCTTAGAGCACCTCCCGGCCTAGGTGGTCCTTCATCTGAGACATGCAGCATCCTCTCTTTCTAAAAGGGGGAAGGGCTAGAAGAAAATACTTTCTCATTTCATCATGACTGGAATGCGGTGCGAGTGGGTGAGGAAACGTTTTTTAGAACCATGTTGCGACATCCCAGGGCATCACTGATATGACTATAGCCTCCCACCTCTAGCCAGCCTGCAAAAAGCTGGCAGAGTTGCAGCTTGTCAGATTTCTAAGGAAAAAACAGAACCACAAGGAAGCGAACACCCTGACTCTGGGGTTATTTTTGGCTTTCAGCAGTAGAAAAGTTTCAGCCCTTTCCTGGCCCCGTTAACACACACTATCTAGGCTAAACTGACCCTAAGCTGACTCAGCTAAACTAATGATTTTTTTATTTATTTATTTAATTAAAAAATGGTCCCTCACAGTCCAAAATAATTTGGTATCTGCTTGCCAACAAATGTATAAAGGCATGGAGGTTTTCAGCTGCCTGAAACAGAAAAGTATCTCATTGAAAACATTTGAATAATCAATGCGGATTTCCAATTAATTCTTCTGTTTTAATGAAACTTGTTTTTTATCAGAACATTTCTCCACCATAAATGGCATTTCTCTGGCCTGCCCTACCCACATCGTGTGCCTTAGGAGTAGGACAGGACCAGATGGTTGTAGGTGGCGTATCTGAAGACATGACCTATGAATGCTTGAAGGTACAATCAGAGGGAACAGCTCAGAGGCAAACCACGCTCTTACGTACATCTACAAGTGATATTCCCTGAGCAACAAGACAGAGGAGCCAAGGAAGCTGACACTAGCTCAGGGGTGATTTCTGGTCCAGCTGGCATCTGGCTGAATGCTGGGTTCCCAACTCCAGCCTGGCTGAGACTGCTGCCTGCAGAGGCAGGCTCTCCCTCATCCTCCCAGGATATTTGGGGACAGGCAAGCTGAGAAGTGGAGGGGGAAGTGGGGTCTGAACTGATGGGTACGCCACTCTGCAGATGGAAAGGAAAAGATGGTGAGGGGACCAGCTTGGCCATGGTGTGGCCAGGAAGGAGGTGATGCTCAGCTTGGCAAGTGCCACCTTTGCGCCATGGGGTAGATCTGCCCTCCCCAGCCATGGTGTGGGGCAGGAACACCACCATAGCTCCCAGCAGAAGCCTCCTTGAGAGTGGGACACCTCTGGGACAACATGGTCATTCCTCATTGTCTGTGGTCATTACAATTTTATCTTTTCTGCTGAGACACCCTTTCTTGCCAGAAATCCCAGTTTCTGCCATTGTCCTCCAGTTAACCTGCTCCTGGTCTTCAGAAGCAGTGTCTTCTTCCTCACCCTGATCCTGGACCCCCTCCTGACTCATCTTCAGGGTCACAGTCAACATCTTCATACTTCTTTTGGCTCTCTTCATCTCCATGCCCAGCAATGATAGTCCTCACTTATCAGTAGCCACTGAAATTTAAGTGTCTAACCTAGATCAGTCATTTAGGGTCTCCTTATAGGACCTAGAATGGGGTAGGCACCTCCAGGACATAACACCACATCTCAGCTCTTCCTTCCCTTAAACCGAGGAGGAAACTCAAGTGCTTCAGCTGCTGGGACTCTTATTTCACACCCACCACTGGTGCTGGAGCCTGCAATACCCTCACAGCTGCAGGACATGCTCTCAGTCCCTTCAGACTATGTGAAGCATGTACAGGACATGAATCCCACTGGTGACAGTACCCGTCTCCTGCTACTGGGGCAGCATGGGCTGTGCAAATGTGGGAGGGAGACAGTCCAGGGTAGAGGAGACCTCAGCTCCTTTGTCCCTAACTGGTCTCGTCCCATCCATGGTCTTCAGCCCATTTGCACAGCTCTTGGAAGGACATACTCTCGCCTCCAAGCTGCTTGGGCAGGGTGGGTAAGAGGAGTCTGTTGACAAATGCAGGAACCTCCACAGGGGAAATTCTTACTAAGGGACATGCATGAAAGAAGCAGAAATAGCAATGGTGACTGTTTCATATCCTGTATCACTGGAGACGCTCTGAATGCAGGGGGGAGCATAGCCCTTCCGGGGCTGGGGCTGCTGCTCTGTTCCACCACAAGACTGCACCATGAGCAGCCTCTTCTCTGGGGGAAATTCCACCATGCCTACGCAAGCCACTGCACAGATGTCCTCACCCCATAAATTGGGGAGTTGATGACTGTCTCAGCACCAGACAGAAAAGAGGCTTTCAAGCTCCACTTTCCTGCTTCAGCTCCAGCCACCACTTCTCAGCTGACATGAAGGTCTCTGTGGCTGCCCTCGCTGTTCTTATCGCCACCTTCTGCTACCAGACCTCCGCTGCACCGAGTAAGTCTGGGATCTCTCCCTCCTTTCTAAATGGGGACAGGAAAGATATTGCTGCTGGGCAGGGTCCCTACTGCCAGGCCAGCCCTTCCATCCAGGGTCCCTTCCCATGTCAGACCAACTTCTGGTGGGTGCTCCAGACCATGGGGGTTCTCCTGCCACACACAGCTCAAAGCACAGCATGGGCTGTGTCAGCACCAGCTCAGGGTGAATCCAAACGAGAAAGAATTAAATAATAAGAAGAAAGACCTTGTCTTTCCTCTTCCTCCTCCGTGTCCTCCCCGATCCCCAGATCCAGAGCTCTGTGGTCCCATCTCCCTGCCCCTGCTCCCCACCCCTGACCACTGCTGACGACCATCTTTGCCTTTCACAGTTGGCTCCGACCCACCGACCTCCTGCTGCTTCACCTACACCTCCCGGCAGCTGCCCCGCAGCTTCGTGGTGGAGTACTATGAGACCAACAGCTTGTGCTCCCAGCCAGCCGTCGTGTAAGTCCTCTCCTCCAGTGCGGTGGTGGGCTCTCCCTTTGGGCTGAGGATCCAGAGAGAGAAAAACCCCTTTACAAAAGACAGGGGATGGAGTCTGGCCCCATGGACAGGAGGGATGGGGGGCCAAGAGATGCAGGGTGGTGCTTCATGGGGGCTCACACCAGTCCTGCTCCACCACTGCCAATGTGATGGGCGTGATGTGCTGCATGCTCAAATTCTGCTGATCCTCGGGAGAGGCTGGGTTTGGGGCAGGGTTCCCCTCCATGCATTGCACCGAAAACTTACCTCTTTGCACCCCACAGGTTTATCACCAAGAAGGGCCGTGAAGTCTGCGCCAACCCTGAGCAGGACTGGGTCCAGCAGTACGTGAACGAGCTGGAGCTGAACTGAGGTCCCAGGACAGACCCTGCCGCCCTGCATCCCCCGGCTGCCGGGATGAGCGAGCCACGGCCAGCTGTGGGATCCGCTAGAAAGGCTTCAACCTCATTTAAAGCTAGTTAGGAAATTGAAATGTTCCAGAATATGACTTTAGTGTATTGCTATTTAATTTTTTATAGGGGAGGGATCAGGTGCAATAACTCCACTCCAGACAAATAAGAATATTATATAATAGATATATTTTTTTAAATGAAGACTAATGCTTAGGTTATTTTTTCTGTATTTAATTAATTGTATTTTTGATGTAATATTTAATTCAAATTTTGAGAAATAAATATTTTTGTACAAAATTTCTGACTTTGACCCTATTACTACTCTTTGCGATGACAATAGCTGAAATTATAATAGTGGTACCGTGTTCTTTATTCCCCTTTCTGCGCTGTCAAAACCCCCACAAGCTTCCCCTATCTGAACGTGCTGTTTTGCAAAATAAGAAGAGAAAAAACATGAAAGAGGAGGTGTGAGAAGGGCATAGATTACATTCAAGTAGCTTGGCTCACTCTTTTTATAAGGTATTTAATTACTACTCATTATGACTACTGGCAGCTAGTTAAATTCCATCGCTGGCCCCATTATTGTCAATTAAAATGTTACCTTTAGGGGCTGGAATTTAACATGCTGGCTGCTTCGGGGAAGGTTTTCTGAGAGCTACAGCTAAAATGGACCAGCTATTCCCAGAGCTGAGAATGGAAAAAATATGTATCACTCCAAGATTTTTAGAACTATATCATTAAATTCTAATTTAGCTGGGACACGAGGCTTGGCAGATGTGCCCCTCTTATGAGAAAAGGTGTTTTTTCTCTGTGTCTCCAAAACCTGCCCATCTCTGGAGATGCCTGTGCAGAGATGCAGTGTCCCCCCGCAATCACCTGGCCGGACTCCGGCCCCGGTACAGGATCTGCCCCTGCAAGGAGACATCTCCACTGCAGCCCTAGGGCTGGTCTCCCACCGCAGCTGAAGGCGATGGAGCCCCACACCACTGATAGCATTTAGATCGCACTGATCAGCTCTGGACATGCATTGTTGGATGAACAACGAGGGTTTGGGTTCCTGCTACCTGGACCTCTGATGTTGATAGGGCAGCCCAAGGAAAAAGGCTCAGGTCAGGGACTCAGGTCCCCACACAGCATTTACTTACTGTATCTGGGAGGACCAACACGAATGTCAGTGAGACACAGGGCAGGAAGTTTGATCCTGGGGAGGGGGTGAAAATGAGAAGACAGAAGGCAGAGGCTGGGTGGGAGCCGCTATCCGGGTTTGAGCGGCACAGGACTAATTTCTCTTCTAATATTTGGGAAGACTTCACTTTTAGAAGACTTAGAGTCTGAATTTGTGATAATATTTACTTTATAGCCAGCTATGGGATGCAGGTTTCAAGGTGTCCGTGTTTTCGAGCTCACCACATGCAGGGATGAGGAGGAGTGAGACCCAGGCATTGACCCAAGTTGGCCAACAGGATTATCTCATACCATGAACGTCACATTCAATATAAATTAGAAAGTTTGCTGAGGAGTTTTTCTCCCTTCTGTGATAGATGTGGTCCTGGGAACTTCTTGCCCCAGTGCCAGAGTCCCGAGCCCTTCCCTTCCTCCCAAGGCCGTAGCTGGGAACGCACAGCTCTCTACTGATAGAACGGGCTGAGTATAAGCCTTCTATATTTTATTCTCATATTGGGATCGATATTGGTTCTTCAGTATTGTTAATGTTAATTATTTAGTCTTATCCTATTAAATCTATTTATTTCTCCTCTTGTGTTTCCTAGTTTTTTCCCGATTCCCCTTCCTGAGTGGGGAGGGGTCATCAGGTAAGAGAATAATTGTCTAAATGATAAAAATTGTTGTGAGTTTCTCAAACCATGGCAGCCACTTAGTGAACAGAGCCTCAGATGGGACTGGAAGGGACCAGGGGGATGTGGGTGTGTTTGGGGGAGAAAGGAGCGTATCGGGTATGTCAGGAGCCTCGTCACTTCAGGAACTGCAGCCCCCAGCTTCTCAGCCCACGGGGCAGCATGCACCCCATCAGTCATCCCGCTACAGCACTGACTGCACCCAGATTAAAATAGCATCCAAGGAGGAGGGGTAGTGAAATGGAGAGCTATGCCAGCCATCAGGACCCATGGCTGGGTGGTTCAGGTGGGCATCACCACGAAGGCGGCTGTGCCTTGGTGACGAGGAGCTGCTCCTGTATGCGAGGGCAGTGGCTTTGGTCACAGCCCTGAATCCCCGGGCACCGTGTGCCCCAGGGCCAGCTCCGGGAGCGGGGCTCATGGTGGCCAAGGTGGAGGTGAGGACACCCTGGCCGTTGGGCACCAGCCAGGCCGGTATCTGAGTGCTGGTGCCCAGTAGCTTCACCCTGGGGACTGAGGTTGGCACAAAGCCGAGTGCCCAGAGCTGCCCTTGCTCCAGTGAAGAGCAGGAGCAGGGGCCAGGAGGGAGAACACCTGCAACAGGGTCATCCCAAATGGCTTGAGCCTCCGCAGTCCCTCTGGGATATACACCCCACCTGTCTCTGTGGCACTGAGAGCAGTCCTGCAGGTTTCTCACCGAAGAACACACAGCACAGGGTGATATGGGAAGCACCATCCAGCCCATGCACTGTCTGAGCCTGTTTCAAACAACCCCATGCACCAACGTCCTTAACAGCCCGGGTCACATTCAAGCCACCCACAGCAGACACCCACCCTGGGTACCTCAGCTAACTCCTCACCGCTATTCCGGGAGCCTGCGGGGAGTCCTGAATTGCTCATGTCTTTCTTGATCTTACACCCACCTACGCGTGACAGCTCAGAGGAGCCCTCAAAGTGCATGCGAGGGATACAGCGCGCTCGTTAATCCACACCCCCGGGCATAGAGGTGTGAACGAAGCCCGCACGAGCAAGGCAAAGGCAGCCAGCAGCTTTCAGCAAGCTCGCAGCTACCTCCAAAGCCCGCGAGCATCAGTGTGCGCATGGAGAAAGCATCCCTGGCAATCTTCAGAGCCGCCGTGTTTTGCAAAGGAGGAGGAGGAGAGCAGAAAGGTGGCCCAGAGCAGGGACTGCAGTGCCCGTACCACCATCAGCACAAATCCACACCCAGGGATACCCTGCCCAGAGCAGGGGATATATTTGCCATATGACACAAAGCTGGGAGGGGTGGCTGACACGCTGGAAGGCTGTGCTGCATACAGTGTGACCTGGACAGGCTGGAGAGGTGGGCAGAATTAAGCTAATGAAGTTCAACAAAGGCAAGTGTGGGGTACTGCACCTGGGGAGGAATAACCCCGTACACCAGTACAGGTTGGGGGTTGATCTGCTGGAGAGCAGCTCTGCAGAGAGAGGCCTGGGAGTCCTGGTGGACAACAGGATGCCTATGAGCCACCAATGTGCCCTGGTGGCCAAGAAGGCCAATGGTCTCCTGGGGTGTGTTAAGAAGAGTGTAGCCAGCAGGTTGAGGGGGGTCATCCTCCCCCTCTTCTCTGCCCTGGTGAGGCCACATCTGGAGTATTGTGTCCAGTTCTGGGCTCCCCGGTTCCAGAAGGAGAAGGAACTGCTGGAGAGAGTCCTTTCCAGTGGAGGCTACAAAGATGACCAAGGGACTGGAGCATCTCTCTTATGAGGAAAGGCTGAGAGACCTGGGGCTGTTTAGCCTGGAGAAGAGAAGGCTGAGAGGGGATCTCATCAATGCTTACCAATATCTATAGGGCGGGTGTCAAGACGATGGGGCCAGACTCTTTCCAGTGGTGCCCAGCGACAGGACAAGGGGCGACGGTCACAATTTGGAACATGGGAAATTCCATCTGAACATGAGGAATAACTCCTTTCCTGTGAGGGTGGCAGAGCACTGGTAGAGGCTGCCCAGAGAGGTGGTGGAGTCTCCTTCTCTGGAGACATTCAAAACTCGCCTGGATGGCCTGTGCGACCTGCTCTTAGATGACCTTGCTTTGGCAGGGAGGTGGACTAGATGATCTCCAAAGGGCCCTTCCAACCCCTGCCAGTCTGTGATTCTGTGTTTCTTTGATTCTGTGATAAACATTGATGCAGCTATTTTAAGCTGACCTTGCTGCTAGAGCTAGAAAACCTTCACACTGTGCAGCCCTTGGAGGAGCCCTGGTATGTCCCAGTGCCCGTGTGTGGGTCTCAGGGGTGAATCATCTCTCCCAGAAACAGCCTCGCAGGGTGCTCAGGGAGCACCCACTGGAGACGGGGCAGGTGAAAGCAAGAAGCAGAGGGCATGAAGCTGGAGGCAGCAGATGAAGAGAAAGGGGAGGCTGGGACCCAAGAGAAGGGTGGCTTGCAGGGGGTTTCCTCTGGATTCAGACCAAGACAAGAGCAACAGTATCAAGGGTTTCAGAATTTGTAAACTACTTAAAAAAGAGACTCATCCTGAAACCAGAGTGTGGTCTTTACTGAATGTTTTGTGCAATATATATAACAGTAAATATTTTTAATGACAACCCTGGGAAATCCTAGCTGTGAACAAAAATGAAACCCTTACTATGATAGGAATAACATCATTAGTATAATATAGATGCACATCTCTATAAATTTGTTGTTTGTATCACCCTGCTGTGTCCACAGGCATTTTGAGGTATAACGACAGCCAGGGGAGCTGGAGGTCGCAGTCTGGCACTGCACAGAAGGAGGAGCTGGGCTGTGCTGGTGGAGATATGCATTGATGGCAATCAAGGTTCATGGTCTGACAGCTTTAACATCTCCACTTTTTCAGAGAGGAATTAGACACCCTTAATGCAAAATGCCTGTGTGCTCCAAAGTGCCAACTCTGTGTCTTCTATACCATCCCATGACCGGGGCCCCAGCTCGCCACAGAGAGGGGAGGCTCGGTCCTCCACCCGAAACCACTCTTCCCAGTGACACCAAGATGGGGGACCGTGTCTCTTCTGGGGGACCAGCACCTAAAAAAGTGGATGGTTTCGCATGCTGCATACAAAAGTATTGCTTTCTTAAAATAGCGATATATCCCAGACTTCCAGGGCTGAGGATGACAAAGAAGTATTACTCTAGAAACAGTACCTGGCTATCGCCTTCCCTGGAGCAGAAAACAGAAGGCAGAAGTAGCAATGAACATTTCTGCTCACTTCTTAGCAAGAGGCAGATGACTACTTACATTCCCGTAAGATGACGAAACATTTTCCACTATACTAGAGGAGAAAGATGTTAACATTGGTTGAGAAAACACATTTCTAAAACTGCAGATCTGTAATTTTTGCTGTGGAGGATCTTAACAGGGGACACAGTCAGTGTAGCTGGGTGACCAAACTGCCCCAGAAGCTAAAACCCAAAAATTTGACATTAATCTACTGATTGCTCAGAAAAACAGCTCCCTGGTCACCCAATCCCAACCCATGGCTGTTCTCCCAGACGTGGTATCCCAAGGGATTACTGCCTTCAATAAAATCAGAGAGCTTGAGCAAATCAGTCCTGGGACCCACCACAGCAAGAGACTGCCTCAACCCAAAATGTTCCTGCAAAATATATGTATATGTATATGTGTATACATATATGTCCATCTTCCTTCAGCATATGGAAATCAAAAGGAAATGGTGTGACTGTGACTAGCCTGGCACATACAGGTCAAACCTTTTGGTAATAAATAACCTTATGATGCCGTGTGAGGGTCACCAGCTTGCTTGGAGCCGGGGAGCAGGAACGCTTGTGGGAAGATGCTCAGGCTGGACTGCACTGTGCCATGCAGCCGTCCCTCACGGCTGGGGCTGGTAGTGCGAGGAGGACCTGATCCTTGCTGAGCAGGATCTGCATGGAGGCTAGAGACAGGCAATAAATGCATTTACACCGAGGACAGGGGCAAGATTGACTTGTCACGACTTAAACAGAAAAACTGGTTGCAAATAGCTTTAGGAGAAGCTTTAGCTTTAGGTTAGCAGGAAGCTCTAAAAGCCAGGTCCCAGTGCTCCTGGCTTTTCTCTGGCTGCCCATTGCCAACCAGTCTGGGCATCTCAAGGCAGAATGGTATCTGCTATGAGCAGTTTCTTAGTTGCAGGTGAGGTGGCGAGTTCACCAGATGGAAAATTTTATGGCATATTCAGACCTATCTCATGCCTTCAAACTTTACTCTCCTTCCTGGCTGAGGCAGATTAATGATTTCTAGGAACACTTTGGATGCTGCATCGGGGTGAGTTCACATCCTTCCTGCTCATTCATTTCTTCCCCCTCTTTGCAAGATCTCTGAACAGTTGCACTTCCTCCAGCCTCTTCTGGAAACGGTCTTCATCCCTCTGGCGCAGCAGCAAGTGCCGCTCAGCTGTCAACTTGCCATGGTCAGATCGCTCTTGCTTTCTGGACAGTTTCCATCCTACCACCTCCTCCCGCCCCTGGTTCGGTGACATTTAGCTTGGTCCCTTCCCAACTATCACCCTGCACAACAGGTTTCCCTGGCCGTCCTCATCACTCCCCCCCCAACAACTGCCTCTGCTTTCAGCCCTCTGTCAAGACCTCAAAGTTCATGTCCTTTCTTATCTTCTCAGACTGCGTAAACTCCTGTAGAGTTCAGCGAGCTGCAGAGCCCACCAAGACCTCCTGGGATATGGCAAAGCTGAGACTGGGCTCTTCCAGTGGTCTCTTCTCTCTGCCACGCAGCCTCCAAAAGAGGGCCTGCAGCTGAAGGGAGGAGGGTGGGACTCCCCAAAATGCAACGAAACTCAGCCGAGAGGAACTGCTATCCCAGGTCCAGCATCTTTTTTCACTAGAAGACTCCTAAAGCACCTTTCAGGACATCCCCAGAGAAACTGTGCTGAGCACTGAAGACCATGCTTTATCAAATCTCATTTTATTTGAAATGAATCAATCTTTAAATTAAGCAGCTTCGTTATTTTTGTCTGAAGGACACGCTCCGCAGCTGCTCCAGCTGGCAGTCCGTGGCTGCTGGCATCGCCTCCGCCCCATCTTCCCCCACAGCAGTGTGTCCTGCCTCCTGGCCTTGTGAGCCATGGGCGCTTTGGTTTAGATGAGTAGGACTGGCTGATGCCACAGCTGAGCTTAAGGACTGGAGAGCCTTTCCTCTGGCAACACAGAGGCAGACTGCTTGAGGCAAGAGGTTGGGGCAGCAGTACAGCCTGGAGGAGAAGAGATGTCCCAGGGGATGGAGAGACCAAAGGTGACCTCTGGAGACATCAGCAGAGGCTGGCTTATTTTTTTTTCCCTGGCTTTTGCAGCCTCTGAAGTGCCCCTGTCCTGGGGAGCGCAACACATGGCTTTCCACACTTGGAGATTTCCTACCCACAGGGCTTGTGAGGGGAGGAGGAGGGGCTGGACCTACCCAACTGAAGGTGATGTCCCTTCCAGGGGACCAGAGAGAGCAGCCCAAGAGCCACCAGGCAGTGCAGTACCCACACCCACACAGATGTCCCCTTGCCCCCAGGCCCCAGCACAGCGAGGCTGAGCCGTGGCCAACTACCCAGTCCCTGCCTGGCGTGTACCCGGCTTGCTGCGATGTCCCCCTGATGCCACAGCAGCATCACTCAAGGACCCTCTCTGGGCCAGAGAGGACCAGGTCCAGCAGCACCCTTTGCCCTCTGAGATGTGGCAGATTAGCTGGGGCTAACGAGCAGGGATGGACGCACCACAAAACCACACTGCTAACTGCACAAGGCTCCCCAAATCGACCCTTTATTGCCTTGTTCCAGTACGAGTCACACCAAAATCAGCACTATGCAGCAAGCCGGGTGCGCACCCTTCTCCAGCAGCCCATGAGATGGGCAGCAGGGCAGCAGTGGGCAGCGGGCGCCCCGGTCCCCATTGGCAGCACAGCGGGTTATGGCATGTCCCCACTGCAAAGCGCCCTTCCCAGCATGGGCATGGCATGGGGTGGATGTCACACTTGGAGGGTCACCACCAGCAGCCAGGAGCACACGGGGACCCTGCCATGATGCTCATAAAGGCACACAGCTATTTCCCTGGTGCTGCCCCGCTCACGGGAGGAGCCGGTCCGGCTCTCCTGTCTATGCCCACCGGTGAGAAGCCAGGGTAGCCACTGTCACAGGACGATGCACCCCGTCCCCTGCGTGTCCCTGACCCAAGAGATCACCAAAGGCTCTGCATTTCTGCCCCCCAAAAAGGCACCCAGGAAGAAGAGAGGACGGAGGTTCCCCAAAAACTTGTCGGTGAAGGTGTAAATGTGGGAGCGATCGCTCACGTTGTAAAAGGAGATTTCTCCTGCCTCATAGTCCAGGAAGATCCCAATGCGCCGGGGTCTCACACTCAGGGTCAGAGGGGAGGTGGGCGAGGTGAGGGCCTCATAGTTGCCCCCATTTTGCAGCCGCAGCACCCAGAAGCCATTGTTCGGGGAGAAGAGGACGTTGCCTTTCCGGCTGGCAGACTCCCTGCACAGCCCCAAGCCCCACTCAGGCTTGTCCCCCACCTGCACCTCCCAGTAGGAGCGGCCAGAGAAGAAGACCTGACTCCCCAGCACCACTGGCGTGGTGCCAAACCTCTTGGGGTTGTCGAAGAGGGACAGAATCAGCTTCTTGCTCCCACGCCGCACGCTCTTGCGGTCCTCAGACAGGGTGAGCTCCGGGTGCGCCGTCTCAGGGTCCAGAGTCACGTCCACTGGAGTAAGAGAAGGGTGGGAGGACAGACAAGGATTTGGGGGTCTGCACATGCAGACACGAGTGGGCACCTGCAACCTGGATGCTGGGCTCTTCCAGATCTTCCTCCCTCCCACATTTATACGCTTGTGCCCATGGTTTTGCACAGCTCCCAGCACTGCCCGGCAGTGGAGAAGTGAATACAGAAAATGATGCTAACCATAAACCACATCAAAATCTTTGGCATCTGGCTGCAGAGCAGGAACCAAATGATGGCAGCTCTGCAGCTCCTGGTACAGTTTCAGAAACAGCCAACGCCGAAAGCAAGACTTCATGGGCAACACAGAGCCTGAAACCCCTGAGTGAGTTCCTAGGCTTCAGGGTCAGCTCACAACCCACCCAAGACCAGAACGAGGAAGGTCTGCCCACCATGAAACCAGCCTGAATTCATCAGTACACAAACTGAGACCAGCTGGACAAAGCTTATTGAAAAAATGTCCCCGTGCCCCAGGATATGGAGGGGCAGACCAGAGCCCAAATGTGCCAGGAGCTGCCACAAAAGCAGCCCCCTTACCTTTGAACTTCTTCAGCATGTCCCTCATGCCCATGCAGCGCTCAGGGATGCTGTAGTTTTCCTTCAGGGTCACAGACACAGCCTTGGGGGACTGGAGCTTTACTCCCTCGCATCTGAAAGGAGAGCAATGCCCATCAGCTGTATTCAGAGCCCATGTCATGACCAGTCTCCTGCTGGGGGGGGGGCAGTTTAATGCCTTCCTGTTGGCTGCACAGATGCATCTCCTCCCTTGAGCTCTTCAGCTGTGAAGAGCACTAGGGATAACTGCTTGCTTGCCAGCAAGCATGATGGGACCAGAGCTAAACAATGCTGAGAGCAGCAGTGCCATTCCCTGGGAAGGAAGGAGCGAGGCCAGCTGGGCAGCATGTTCCTTCAGAGGGGACGCATCTCACACACCACAAGGCCAGGCAATACCTTGGCTCTGAGGGCCTGGAAGAAGAGGATGGAGTCTCTTCTCCAATCCCTGATGGTCTCAGTCCCTCCATTGTCAGCCCCAAACAGAAACAAACATCTCAGAGCCTGGAGGTAGCCAGGATGGTGGGAAGAACAAGCATGGGTACCTACCTGCTCAGCATGTTTTTCATGTCCTAGAAGGAAAAGAGAAAAAACATTCTGGGTGTGGGGCTCCAGAGCCTCGTGCCCACCAGCCAGCCTGGCTCTGGCCACCCGCCCAGACAGCAAAGGCACCAGGGCTGAGTTAGTGGGGCTGGTGGCATAGCCTGACCTTGAGCAGCCTGTCGGCTGGCTGCTGGGTCTTCTCCTTTATCTCCAGGATCAGCTCCTCCAGCAAGGATTTCTGCTCCACCAGGTTGGCCAGGTTTTCATTGATCATCAGCAGAATCTGCTTCTCCTCCTCCTCCAGCTTCTGGAGCAACAGCTTCTCCTCATCGGCCAGCAGCCGATGTAGCTTCCCAAACTCGCTCACAATTCTCTCCCGCTTTTTCTTCACCATCTCCTTGCAATAAGAAGACACATGGGGTGAAGAGAGGCGATGTTAGCCAGGCAGCTGAGATGGAGCTGGATGCTCCGGCATTAGGCCCTGGGAAACCACCGCATTTTTTTTTGTAAGCTCATTTATTTAAAAAATAGCCAGAGGCTAACTGCTGCACCTGAGTTCCCGCTCGACATCCCCAGTTTACCAGCAGTAGGACTTTGCCCGGTGCATTTTGCTCAGCTGGACCTCAGATGTCTAATGATGCTTCGGTGCATAGATAGACTGGGGGGGGGAAGGGTGCTGGGCTGCAAGGAGATGCCATCAGGTGTCGGTTGGGGTAGGTTTTTATTAGTTGTGGTACAACTCATCCCTCCAGCTAGATTCAGGCCAACCTGAATTTCCTCACGCAGCCCAGAGGAAATGCTCCATGTCTGGAAGAACCCACAACAATGGGAAAGAGGTGGAAGAAACCCCAGAGCTGGGGAGGGATGGAGAGGGGGAGCCAGGGAGGACTCCTCAGGTGTCTGAGATCTCTCACTACAGCCAGCAACAGGCAGGGTCTGCCAATGCTTTCAAGTTTTTTGCCTGAGCCCTAAAAATTGGCAGTTTGCTGGAAACCTGAAGCACCAGGAAAGCATGCTTTGGTTTGCTCGGACCGTGAAACCTCAAAATGCAGAAGATAAATGAAAGGAAACTGAACTACATTTATTTTTCTGTCCAAGCACATGATTTCTTGGACCTGAGTCACGAAGGCTTGATAAGCCAGGATGGTCACAGTCACTTCCCCCTCACCACTCATAAGGGACATTTTTTCCTTTTTACTAAATAAGCGCAACCAGCCGCTGGGCCGGGAGGAAGGTGGCGGCAGCTGAGCTGTGGTCCCAGACTCCTGACTCAGGCGAGCGGGGGGAGAGTGACATAGCTCTTTCACAACCTCCATCCCCGGCCCCATCCCAGCCCGAGGGGGACAGCGGGCACGCAGGGACACCCCAAAAACCCACCACCCACTTGGCTGGGCTGCAGCAGGCAGGCAGGGGAGGTGAGCAAGTAACTAGGGGAGTGTGCAGAAACCTGTTTTCCCTGCCAAAGCTGATTAATCATCAACTCTAGCTCAGGGCTGGATAACTCAGTCCAGCAGTTTCGTTTCCTTTTCTGCAGTTACTTTTACTTTCCAGCTTCCACTCTGAAAGGACATGAAATGCGGTTGTTGTGCTGGCGTTGTATCTCCCCGGGACTGCCGGGAGTTGGGCAGAGGTGCAGTAATTCAGCTTTTCTTTTTTTTAATGAAAACACTTCTCGTTCCTATGGCTGTGAAGCAGAGCTCACTACATGGCTCATGCCTGGCTCATAACTCAAGCACACGTTGTAAAACAAAAGGCAAATAAAAAATATCCAGTGTTTAACCGGCACACAAGCCCCTGTGGTTTCAGTGGAGCTGGCGTGTTGCTCTTTGCAAAGTATTTCTTTGCAAACCTTTTTAATCTTTTTTATAGAGCCACACACAGACACTGAGCTGGTTTCCAGCACCAGTCCTCCATGCAACAGCAGGACACGAGGACATGTCCCATCCTGAGAACTGTGACAAATTTACAGCCCCAGATGTGATCATAATTGCTGATATCTCTGAAGCTCATTCTTTAAGAATTAAGCCAGGCACCTGCCTTGCACTCCTGGGTTTTCATCCTTTCCGCTGACTCACGCTTCTTCACCTCCTCCACTTCCTTCAAAAGATGCTCCAGGGATTTCTGGAGTTTGACCTGAAAAGAGAAGAAACGGGCTCAGCTTGCCCCAGCAGTGCTACAGTTCGTCCGGGTCCGCTCTGCCGCCAGCAGCCAGGGGACAGTGACCCCGCACCAGGCAGTGCCAGCCCTGGCACCCGGACCCAGCAGCTGCACTCTTGACTCCACTCGCAGCATTAACCCTCTCTGCCCTCCTTGGGTTTTTCCCATATTTTTCTCACTGTTTAGGTTTTGGAGAACCGAGTGACTGCTCCCTGCAGTGCTGGGTCATGGGGTGGCTGACAGCGTGCTCCTAGGAGCATTGCTGGGACATGGGATTTTGGTGCACCCCTCCACTGAGGTGACATGTCCCCAGGGCCGGACTCTCCACCCCCCCTTCTCCACGGGTGTCACGGAGGGGCATGGAGCCCAGCCGGCTCCGTGCACCCAGACAGGCAGGGCTGAGCCTGGGTGTCTCCGCAACCTGGGAGCCAGTGGGTCCAGCCTTGTCCCTGCG